TTGAAGAACATGGTGTGTTCTTGTAGTCACTAGTGTCTTATATCCATAAGAAAACTTAATGTTGAAGAACATGGTGTGTTCTTGTAGTCACTAGTGTCTTATATCCATAAGAAAACTTAATGTTGAAGAACATGGTGTGTTCTTGTAGTCACTAGTGTCTTATATCCATAAGAAAACTTAATGTTGGTGTGTTCTTGTAGTCACTAGTGTCTTATATACATAAGAAAACTTAATGTTGAAGAACATGGTGTACACATTAATACTTGTGTATATATAAAACTATATAATTGCTAAGTTATAGGTTATACATATATAGTAGATTGTGACTAAACACGTGACTCCACTTAAACCATTCGAGTTTTACATCTGTTTATTATGTTCAACCACTGTATATATTTATTGTGAACTAGCTAAGAACACACAGAAGTGTGCGGTGTTTTAACAGGTTAATTCATCAAACACAAATAGAACATAAAGCTGTATTGATTGATAAACTAGTTAAAAAGACTGAAATATTGCATAAAAAAGTATATCTCGTACTTCTTGACAGTGAGCTGGTGAAGAATTTTATATTACTAAACACATAATTAGTATTATCTTCTCTTGAAATGGGCAACATTAATTCCTTTTGTAGTAAGTATGGAAATAGGCAACATTAATTCCTTTTGTAGTAAGTATGGAAATGGGCAACATTAATTCCTTTTGTAGTAAGTATGGAAATGGGCAACATTAATTCCTTTTGTAGTAAGTATGGAAATAGGCAACATTAATTCCTTTTGTAGTAAGTATGGAAATAGGCAACATTAATTCCTTTTGTAGTAAGTATGGAGGTCTTGTAGTTAATTAAAAAGCTACTTAGTTTCTCTAACATTGTACCGAGTGTTTCTGTCTTATCGTGAAGATGAAGTCTAGAACTAGTATTGTACTGTTTTTTGTGTGTTTCTTCATTTTAAGTGAAGCTTATGATCATTAATTTTGTTTCTTGTCAGATTTTTCAGAGGCTTTTCCAAAATCAGTTACCTCAAATTGTAAGGATACTTACCATTTGTTTGCTAAGAGATTTTTTATGTATTTGTAACTACATAAATTTGTTATGCATGTTAACCACATTACTAAACCTTAAAAGTCTTCGTGTAGTATTTTGTTATATAAAAAAATGTCTTGTTGCACTAACTCAACTAATACTGATGCTGTGAATAACTCGGTAATTAAATCAGGTTGGCTTCAGATATTGCTTTGTTTTAAAATCTTTTGTATTTTTAACAATTACAAAAGTAACATAACTTGGGAAGCCAAATAATTCCATAATAACAAAAGTAACATAACTTGGGAAGCCAAATAATTCCATAATAACAAAAGTAACATAACTTGGGAAGCCAAACGATTCCATAATAACAAAAGTAACATAACTTGGGAAGCCAAATAATTCCATTCCTAGTATTGGTATAGTTTTTGTAATAAACACATTTGCTAGTAACAGTCAATAAGTTAATTTTGTCGTTCAATGTTTATTCATATTTGTGATGTCTAATACTAAGTTTTTCTCTTTTCCTGTGGCTTTCATAATTTCCAGAATTTACAGGTAAAAAGCCAGACTGTTTTACTTCTGCTTATTGTGTATTATAAGTTTAAAAGTGTAATCTATATAACACACTAGATTAAATACTCATTTTACAAAAAAAGATGTAGCTAATGATATGTAAGAATATTGATTTAGGGATCGAAGATGGTGTACAAAGATCTGTGGGTAATGATAATGAAAGGATTTGGGTTCGGGTATTTACATTGACATATCTGTGCAAGATAGCTTGGTAGACCATTTTTTTCCAAGAAAATTAATTTCATGTTTTAAATCTTCTAAACAATGTTATTTTATGTACTTGTGTTTTTATTTCATCCATTCTATAAAAGTGCTCGAAAATTTACTTACAATGAAACCATGTATAGTTCACCCATTTCCACTCTCCTCCAAATCTGATTGTTTTTTAACAGACGTTTGGCTACTTTGTGGAATCAGTTTCCTCTGGAATTTCAACAATTTCTATAGAATTATCTGTATTGTTAGTAATTGATTGTATCAGTTTGGTTCTGTGTATCATTCTCCAAATTAAATAAACAAGACCATGAAGAATTTAAAATATTTATTTATAAAATGTCTGTATTTATGTACTTCAAATAATAGGAGTAAAGTAACATTAAAAGACTCTTGTTGTCAGAAAGATTGGTGTTATTATAGGTACACATCTATCTTATCAGTTTAAAATAAGGAATATAATATTGCATTCTGCTGATGGATTACATTGTTTCACTGTGTTCAACTTAATCTTAAGATATGTTTCTTTGTCACGTACTAAGAATAGGAGACGTGTTACACAGGATTTATTTAAAGATGCGTTTATTTGTTACAGAATAAGAGACGTGTTACACAGGATTTATTTAAAGATACGTTTATTTGTTACATAATAAGAATAGGAGACGTGTTACACAGGGTTTATTTCTCTTCCTTTCAGTTGCTCAGGATGAAGGAGAAGGTGAAGCAGGATGGATAGAAGGCGCTGCTATCTTAGTTTCTGTTGTTATTGTTGTCCTAGTAACAGCCTTCAATGATTACACTAAGGAACAACAGTTTCGTAGTCTACAGAATCGTATTGAACACGAGCACAAATTTGCCGTTATTCGGGGAGGGGAAGTGCACCAAATTCCAGTTAGTGAGATAGTGGTTGGTGATATATGCCAAGTCAAATATGGTAAATGATATAATTATATATATATATTCATAATTTATGTTACCTAAAACAGTGAAAGAAGTGGATGAAACTTTTGACTCTGTTTTTGTTATTTTACTGTTTTTACAGTAATTACAAGAACATATGAATTCATCACATTAAGAACAATAAAAGAAAGATTGGTTACTAAAAATAATAAAACATATAAACGATTACCAAGCAGATAGAATAATTGTAAAAACATTTCCTTGAAACGAGATGCAGCTTAATTAGCCAAAATGTTTAAATGAACAATGTAAAGAACAATAAAATAACAAGTCAAGTTTATAGAACTTCCTCGTAGTTCATTGTTGTTGATATATTTTGTTATCCAGATTTTTCTCTGGCATGTGAAGTTGTTTTGATATTTTCTTTGGTCATATAACTGTTGGATTATAGTAACATGTGACTGCTGGATTGTAGTAACATGTGACTGCTGGATTGTAGTAACATGTGACTACTGGATTGTAGTAACATGTGACTGCTGGGTTATAGTAACATGTGACTACTGGATTGTAGTAACATGTGACTGCTGGATTGTAGTAACGTGACTGCTGGATTGTAGTAACGTGACTGCTGGATTGTAGTAACATGTGACTACTGGATTGTAGTAACATGTGACTATTGGATTGTAGTAATGTGACTGCTGGATTGTAGTTAAGTGACTGCTGGATTGTAGTAACATGTGACTACTGGAATATAGTAACATGTGACTGCTGGATTGTAGTAACGTGACTGCTGAAATATAGTAACATGTGACTACTGGATTGTAGTAACGTGACTGCTGGAATATAGTAACATGTGACTACTGGATTGTAGTAACATGTGACTACTGGATTGTAGTTAAGTGACTGCTGGATTTTAGTAACATGTGACTGCTGGATTGTAGTAACATGTGACTACTGGATTGTAATAACATGTGACTGCTGGATTGTAGTAACATGTGACTGCTGGATTGTAGTAACATGTGACTGCTGGATTGTAGTAACATGTGACTGCTGGATTGTAGTAACATGTGACTGCTGGGTTATAGTAACATGTGACTGCTGGGTTATAGTAACATGTGACTGCTGGGTTATAGTAACATGTGACTACTGGGTTATAGTAACATGTGACCGCTGGGTTATAGTAACATGTGACTGCTGGGTTATAGTAACATGTGACTGCTGGATTGTAGTAACGTGACTGCTGGATTGTAGTAACATGTGACTGCTGGGTTATAGTAACGTGTGACTGCTGGATTGTAGTAACATGTGACCGCTGGATTATAGTAACGTGTGACTGCTGGATTATAGTTTTGTGTGATTGATGGATCACAAGTACAAGTCATCGTGTTCAGAGTACCAGTTCATATGATATCAAATATAAATCATGTGTAAATAAATTTGTAAAATATTTTAAATATTAAAGTTGAGCTTTTCTTTTAACTTCTTCAACAAAGTGAAAGTTGTGGATTAAGTTGAATTGTATAGTTTGTTACTTCGGTTGTTTGGTGCAACTTTATTTTAAATTTATAGTTTGAAACATATATAACTAGTAATACATTCACTGCACTGTATTTTGTAATAACTATGAAGGTGTTAAATGTTTCAGTATAAAACATTGATGTATGATTTTTTCATCGAAAAGTACATAAAAAAGAAAGCAGCCTTAGAAATTATTAAAGTATGTAAAAAAAAAGAAAACATCCTTAGAAATTACACAGGCCTCCAATGGTTTTATTGTCTTGATATTTTTGCATGTTTTACAATAATTCATGTATGCTGAACCCAAAAATGATATCCATTTTTCTCCATCACATACAGATTTTTTCACAAAAGGTCATAATGCAATAGATAAAAGAAAGACCACAACACATAGT